AACCCGGGAAGTAACTCGTTGTAGTCCCTACCAGCCGTTTTTGTAGGCATTAAACTGCCAGAATTTTAAAAGACTTTCAGCTTCGTAACTTTGCAGATATTGTTTATGCTCAAACAGCAACATTACACACTAACTAACGTTAAAAAAGTGAAATCGCAATCAACCATTAAAGCATATCACAATGTTAGTTTAAACATTTAACCTACATAAATGTGCGCTATTAGGTGCATATCCAATCGTTTGTGCCAAGAGTGGAAGCTGAAGTGCGCTGTGCAGGACATCAGTGGAAACAAGTTAAAATACGCCGTCATTTTTGCTCATAAAGCTAAGAATAATACATTATTCGGGACTGTAAAGGGTCTACTTTTATTTGTGTGCACTCACAATATCAACAAAATGTTGTACTTTTGTAAAATAAAGAAAACAACTAGGATGTGCTTTCCGCCGTCTCTGTCTTGAGCAGGAGCGCTTCACAAAAATGAACCGAAACTCATCGAATATTTTCCTTACAGACATGATGAATATATCTATAGAAAGCTTTAAATGACTACAAAATGAAATAATTCAAATCCAAAACAAAAACTCTTTCATTATGTAATCAGTAAAGATGCATTTCTCTCTGAATTGGCGTCCAATGAGATGGCGAGTCAGGATTGTCAACTTCATCTTTGCGACTCTGACTCTGACAAACACTAGTTTATTAATAAATAATTCAAATATCTCCTTACTATTTCCCCCCGACACATTCATGTTAACTTTTGCTGGGGCTTTGCATCAAGCTTTAGCCTATATTTAGCGCACTCGTGTCATGTTGCTGTGCACCATGGTCACAAAAACTCATCATTTGCACACGTTTTTATGCATTGGAGTTAAAAAACGAGTGATTTAAGCCACTGAAATGCAAGCAACAGCACTATATGCGCAAGCTGTCTGTTTCTGAGCGTGAATTCTGCAATTGGGTCAGATCGAGGTCGGGTCATGTTCACACCTTAAACGAACCGTACCAGAGTTTGTTTGGAAGCGGACCGAGACCACCTCTTCAGTTGGGTCTCGGTACGGTTGTTTGGTCCGTACCCGAGTGCGACTGATGTATTCACACCTGCCCAAAAGATCCGCACCAAGAGGGGAAACGAACTTGAGTTCGATTCAATCGAACCAAACAAGACAGGTGTGAATACACCCTAAATATCTTGGAATTAAGTCCAATATTATTTGAAGATAATACAATCCTCATCAATAGAGACATAAAAACACATTTTTGGCATAATATTAAGAAATGTGCATTGTGCACAAGTAGTACTCCCGAATAAAGTTTAATTATTATTTTAGTCTTAAAGGGGTCATATGATGCGATTTTAATTTTTCCTTGCATAGAGGAGAAACAATAATGTACAGTATGTGGAAAATAATGTGTTTTTTTAACCTTAAACAGCATAAACACATTTCATTACACCAAATACACTAAATAATGTTCTTTTTAGCAACATCATATGACCCCTTTAAGTGATATGTCATTAAATATGTTAATAGATTTGAACTATACTTAGTATGAAATAAATGTATTTTAAATATATTACTTTTTTTTAGGATACCTTACAATTTACTACACATAATCATAAAAACTTCTATACACTTTCAGGTTATCATTGTTTGATATTGCATCTCCGGTTTTATTAGGTTTTATTACATTAAAATTACATTTTTAAGCATTTATTTAAATTTTTTTTTAATTATTATTAATTAAATTTAAAAAACCTATATTCTCTGTAAGTGAAACATACAGGGATATTTACTATTCTTCAAAGATAGGCTTTTTAGATACGTTTATTATTATTGGGATCCAGTGAGGTATTTTTCATGACACCAGCCTTTTTGACAAGCAAGTCTAAGTCCCAAGTTGTTTTGTTTTGTGACACTTACTGTGGTTGTTTTCACTCGGCCTCCCGGCTGTGCACACGTCCAGCCCGTTCTGTTTACCAATAGGTCACAGCCTTCGTCATCCAAACAAGGCATCATCTCACACCATTGTCTGCTCCTGACAATGTGCACTGTTAAAAGAAGAGGAAAATGAATATGAAGAGGAAGTTAAATAAAATAAATGACATTTCCAACCTATTTCACTTCCACAAGGCCATATATTTCTTTGTGAAACATGCTATTTAATATGAAATTAAACATAGAGTGGGGCTTATCATAGTGTAGTAATTTTTTACTCTGGATTGACTAGAACTGTGTTTTAAGATGATTTCATTGGTGCACCTGATGTGCAAAAGAATTGTGATAGAATAGTACTTTACATAGTAGAGGAAATTTACCTAAAAATGATTTTAGCATTATGTATTAATGTCATGAAGGTTAAGTTTAGTTAATATAAAACCATCATATGACATAGACTAACATAGTTTGTCTTAAAGGAATTCCCATAAATACATAAAATTCAAGAGGTCAAGACATGGTAAAAATCAGGACATTTCACGCAACAAAGGCAAATAGCAATGAGAGAAAAGCGCTCCAGCACTTGGCCTAATATCCTAAGCCTTTCTCTTTGAAACAGATCGCTGAAGTCCAACAGTGAGAATTTTTTCCTGAGGTAAGATTGTTTTTGCACTTAATCAAACATAAATGTCTATTTATAATAACTAGGGCACCCTTACATGTTCATTTGCATACCATGACACCCCAATTGGCCCTTAGAGAGAGTGAAAAAAGGGAGGGAGGAAGGGAGGGAAACTGAGAGAAAATGAAAGCGAGAGAGAGAGAGAAAAGAGTACATTTGTGAGGTAGAGAAAATGATAATAAGAGTGAAATACAACCCAGGGAAGCAAAAGTACATAAATATCAGGGTGGCAGCATTTGTACGTTTGGAGGAAGGCTAACAAAGTGTTTGGAGAACAAGTAGGTACAAATGGAGGCGAAATGTCATTCTCACCAAAGGAAAAGGCACGTTCTTAAAGGTAAAAAATAGTTGTAGAGATGCCTTCCAAACTCAAAGTAGTTTGTTATGTAGTGAATGTTTCCCTCACAGCGTCTACTCTAGGGACTAGCTTCCGCTACTAATCTCCAGCATTAGTATTCACTGTTATGCCCTGGGCCATAACGACAAATAAAAGAGCCTTTCATGCAAATTCGGTACATCTTCAATCTGTAGGCATGATTCACAAAACCGTAGGTTGCAGCCATTGGTGCTCTTATCTATGTTTTAAGATTAGCATGCTATTCAACGCTAGTCTTATAAGTAGTTTTTCAGATTTTTTAAAATATTAATTCAGAGTTGGGTGTGGGTTGGTTGGCTTGGTTGGTTTCCCCTGCCAAAAAGTAAACAACAACAGTTGAACTGCCTGCATGCTTAAAATAGTTTGAAAAGAAGGTTGTGTCGACCTTATGTGCCACAGATAGAT